ATTTTGATTTATCCATGTAAACATACAGTTTCGACCATTCTCCGTTGTTTGGTGCTGAAAGATTTTATGTGCTGATAACTGTTGCCGAATTACACACTATTATGGTCGCAATCGTTACAAGTGGTCTAAAAATTTCAAGGGCTACATCGTCAAATATAATTCTTCATCTGTCAGGAATAAAAGGTCCAGCAGCAAGTGCAACACCCTTTGATGCTTCTGATTACCGAAGACATTCTGAATGAAATTTTAGTAGGACATTTAGATATAATTGAACTGAAAGCATTTCTGGGCCTTTTTATTTTGGCTGCTGTGTTCAAATCAAATCATGAAGATACAAGAAGATTCTTTATGCAAAAGATGATATTGGAAGAGATATCTTCAGAGCTACAATGTCCGAAGACCGTTTTTTGTTTCTTATGTCAATACTCAGATTTGATGATCAAACAACAAGGAGTGATAGAATTGATAATGGTGATAGACTTGCTGCCATATCAAAAAGCTAGAACTAAACATCATAAGACACAACTCGGGGAATACCCAGAGTTTATCTTTGAACATAGAATAGGGCAATTTGAGGAATAACCTAAGTTAGATTCTATTTAGTCCGTTATATCCGAAGTAACGAGGTATATTATATCGAGGTTTTACTATAATTTCAAAACACTTAAATACTTACGCATATCCATACAAGATCCATAAAAAATTTTCGCTTTAACAGTCGCTTCATTATCATTTTGATTGATCGCCTCTTCTAAGACACCTTTTAAGATTACTTGAAGCTGATCGGCCATCACTTCAAAAGTGCTTATTGAACTCCGATCCTCGGGAATGATATGTTTTTTATTCCATGTGCCGCAAGCGTACTGGAAAAAATCTATACATGGATCGGCAGTGTGATCCATTGCAGCTAATAAAGAGGATGCTAAATACGATTATAAAAAAAAATAATTTTATTAATTAATTCTTTTACTTTAATAATATTAATTAATAATACCTGTACTGACACATTCTTCTGTTAAACAAATCTGCCTTATATCATCTGGAAATAAAAAAAAAAACAAATAATGAAGAAAATAAGAAAAAAGCAAAAAAAAAGAGGAAATCTTAAAGAAGGAACGGTTTGGTCGTAAAGTGAACCAATCGATACGGGCAATAAAAGCAAGCAAGGCACGCGAAATCTAAAGGCCTTGGGCCACTTTGTAGGCTAGTAAACTTCCCTTATATTAATTTAGTTAAAAACAATTTAAATTTGTTGGGATTAATTTTATTGTGACATATCTACAAATGAAAAGATGAGGGGAAAAAGTGAAATAAATAAATCTGGAGGACGGGTGGCAATTCACGTGGAGAACATCGGGCGACTCAAACCGGTGATTTATGGAATAGGGCAGAGGTAACTTCCATCGGAGGCAATCTGATAAACGAGGATTGTAATCAGGGGAGCCTCGCGTGCCGTTGGAAAAGTTCAACCGTTAATTGAACTGGTTATCGATTGTTCGGATGAACGATAGTGGTTTTTAAAGTGACCGATTCAATTCAAATATTTATTCATTGGGTTTAATTTGATTTAATCGAAATAAAATAAATATTTAGTTGTGAGGAAAAATTGTAATTTTTATAAACCATAATCTTTATAATTTATTTTTGAGCCCCCAAACCTCCGTTAATCTCATACTTTGATTTTTCGTCTATTTATTTGGTAGCCAGAGACATATTTGTAAAAATTTTAGATGCAAATGAAAATCTATGTTTTGAAGTGCTAGAAGAACTATTTCTAGATGATGCTGACTACAGTTCTTTCAAAACCGAGCAAAACTTTCAGTGTATATAGGAAGACGAGAAATAAAGATGTTTCATAAAGATCATTTCATCAAAATCATGGATGTTGAATAAGCCTTTGTGATCTGGCAGCATGGAAAAGAATGTCTCTAGGAACTCCTACACACCTGAACTCGCCATAAACAAAAACAGTTACCTATTCTGGATGTTTTGATCACTAGGAAGAAAGATGGAAGTATGGAATTAGGAGTAAGGTTCGTCCACAAGCACCTCAACAGACGGCGTCCATGATCCAAGCCTTGTTCCAGCGAGCAGAAAAGATTTGCGACAGAAAGAATTTGATGAAAAAGAACCCTTCTTTTTCTGACAGATGTATTTCAGAAGAACGGCTACACTCTGAGGGATATTCAGCGACCCACCAAACGTAGCTAGCAGAAGGAATACACGTTAATTACTGTACCAGCCGGATCTACCTACCTAATGTTTCAGGGGTGTCAGATCGATATCTAACTTCATTAAATTATTGCGTTGGTCAAACAGGACGTAACATCGAGTACTGCATAGAGAAGCATGCGAGAGATGTCTGACTAAATAAGCTCCAGCAGTCATTGCCATACAGAGAGACAACCGATAGATTACGTGGTAGCCAGAGCAGGAAATCACTGCCAAAGATTGACAAGAGAGGCCAATCGTCGATGGGCAAAGGAACAATATGAATAGAGAAGACGGCTACACAAAACGCCAGGTATTGATGAAATGAATTCAGAAATGTATAAATTGGATGGTCAATCACCTAAAAGAACAGAAAGATATGACAGGAAGAAACAATCCCTGCCCATAGGAAAAGAAACATCATCTGCGGGGTGTACATAAAAGGATTCATAGTAACTATATATAAAAAAATATTAATTGATGCCAGCACACAATATAATTTGACAAAATTACATGCCTGCAATTATTGCCAGTAACAATTTATGTTGTAGAAAGTGTTACCAATCGATGAATATTTTTTATCAACGTGAGACTCTAGAAAACGAGAAAATGGATATGACGGTGATGGCAGGCGAAAGAAAAATAACTCAATCTGACATGTTCATGTGGCAGCAATCTTTGAAAATTGTGATATTGCTTCTACAATCGGATGTTCTTGTTAAAATCAATAATTCCGATTAATAGTATATCGCTGCTTAATTTCCTGGCTACAAGGAATAGAAATAATTTCATAAACTTCAAGTATATTCTTGAAAATTATGAATCAGAGATATAAAATTGTTACTATAATATTTGAAGTATACTTTTTCTTAAAAGTATGCTTGGTCCAAGTTCATAAGAAACCATTACGATAGATAGGGACTAAAACAGACTAATTAGGTGTGTAAATTTTGGATCTCGTAACCAAGAATATAACCCTAATTTTTTCATTTTGACATAAAAAAATCAAATTAGAGTCAACCTCAGGAGTTGCATAAACTAGTTAGCATTGCATGTTTTGGAGCTGAAAAATTTGTTACCAACGCTAAAGCACGTTGAAGGCAGTATTATTGATGGCATTGTATCGATATTAATGCAAAAGCATTTAAAAAGAAAATTTTAAGCCATGTGGAAGCATGGGCCTTGGGGATTGCTGAATTTTTCAGCAAGATAACAACCTCAAGCATCCAGCACACGTTGACAAATACAAGTTGCTGTATAGCATCTAGGCAGTTCAATACATCTCCTTAGAGTCCGGATTTAAATCCGACCAAAGATGTTTAGGAGCATTTGGAACGTGGATTCTGCCTTAGTAAAATCATGGCATGAAATAACAGCCAAAAGGATAACAATCTTAGTTGTTACAATGCCACGACGTTTGCGCGCAGTTATAGAATGTCAACGAGAACTAACGAAATACTGTACATTTTGAAAACTGTCGTTATGTGGACTTAATAGAATGGTTTTTATTTTTAAGACTAAATTCAGAAGGTTTATTCATGCCGATCTACCTTAATCTAACAAACCATGATTTAGAGATTCTACAAGAGTGTAAAGTGCCTAAAACTATCAGATTCCAAGTGTTGGCGTTATGTTGTTATTGAATATAACGATATAATAGGAATGGTTTATTTATTTATTCTCATAAAAAGGAAATGCCATCATAAGAAATTCTAAGAGTGATATCAAAGGTTTTATAAAAAAGTTTTAGATTTAAAAAAGTATGTAAATTTTTGAATATTAAGGAAATCTTCAAACTAAGCATGAAATCAACTCATCCATCTTCCAGTCCTTAATGTCCACTCCTGAACACTTTTGCCTAATTCACTCTATTCTGCTTTGTATTCAATTTGTAGTTATTCTTTTGATATTGTTAGTTCGCTGGTCTACTTCTCATCCATTCTTAGTCCCCACTTGAGCAGTCTTTGTCCATCTCGCACTCTTCAAAGGGACTTCGGATCTCATTTCAATATCAGAAATTTCTTCATTGCCATCATTAACCTCCACATTGGTGGCAGAATCTAATTTAAATTTGAGAAGTAAAAGCTATTTTGCCAGCTCGTTCAGCCGTAAGCCCATTTTGAAAACATAAGGGATGTAGTTCTTAGGTAATGGCCAATTCTGCCATTACCTCTGCAGACTCATCTGGGCTTGTTATAGTAGCTATATTGTCTATAAACTCTTCCTTGTATTTGTTCTTCTTTATTAAGGTGAATTCCATTAAAATTTTGATCTAGATTATTTGCAGCAAGATGGATTGGATTTATTGCCATTTGCCTCCTCTTAACAAAATTTCTTTTTCTCTTTCCTCTTGGTTAAGCAAAGGGCTTGAGGAAAGGACTGTTTCAAAATGACTTTACAATTGGGAACTGGAATTACAACTTGAGCAGGTGAAAGTTGTGGAGGAGGGGCATTCAGCAGAAGAGCATGAGATACCAGATGCTTCAACTGCTGAAATAAAAGATATTTGCAATAAGTGGAATGATGTGCAGGCTTTTATTGAACATCACCCTGACAAAACTGTTACCGGTAGAGCAGTGGATATTTTAAATGATAATGTTATGGTACATTTTCATAAAATTCTCCAGCAAAGAAAAAGGCAAATTCCTCTGTATCGTTATTTTTCTAAGGAGTAATGTTTGTAAATATGTTTGTTATATATTTGTTACATACGTGGTTTCATGTTTNATGCTCTTAACACTTGGGAGTGTTAAAAACGACATTCACATTAAAAATAAAATCAATCATACCTATATCATTTTTATTTGGATTATAAAATGCATTAACCACAGCTGGTTCCGTCGACCATTTATCTTTATCAACCGGTTGTCGTAACTTTTGCAAATTCTGTTCAGCCTCATATTTTAATAAATTTAAAATATTCTTCATAAATTCATTTTTACTAATATTCAACTACAAATTAAAATAAAACATAATACTCTTATTTTTTAAACAATCGTAACATACCCCCGCATATTCCTTAATCAATTCGGTGCTATTCGTAATTAATTGTGGATAACCAATCCTCTCGTTCATAGCGTCAGCTTTTTCTTTTGCAACAGCTCGAGTTTCATCGTCCATCCAATGATTATGAGCTAATAATTCATTGAAAGCTTCACGAATCGTATGAATCATGTTTAAAGCGGTTTCCTAAAGAAAATTGTTAACACCAAATTTATTAAAATAAAATTTAAATTACTTTGCTTTCATGATTAAAATTATCGCGTATAAATAAAGCCCCCACTGCCATTCCAAGTTTCTTATTAGTCCATTCGACACATTGAGACCATCGATGTCTTTCACTTAAAATCCCTAAAAGTATTTTTCGAAACTCAACGCGTTCTCTTTGATAATCATCGATCATATGTGGAACTAAAGCCATTATTAATCTCCATAAAACGTAATTGTGTATGATTCTAGTCAAAAAAATCTTTTTTGGTATTTATTTTTTGTTTTGTTAAATCTTACCGTTTATCTGTGGTCTCAATTAATTTCCCCATTTCAATAAAATAAGAAAGACCATAAGCTACGACTGGTTCTCTTTCATCAATTTTCGCCTCTAAAAATGTCGTCAAGTAATCGAGCCACTTAATTTGCGGCACGATCTTCTGAAGTTCCGCAAGCGTTAATTTCTTGTATATCGCGCTGGTGTCGTGTCGATCCGCTTCCGGTAAACTCGCCTGGAAAATCGTTGGAAAAGATGTTAAACGAAAATTCAAATTAGAAACTCATTTCCTCGTTTAATTGAACGAAAATTGCCAACAGCTTAACATCAACGTTCAAGTTTTTGATTTTTTTTTAAAACATTTATTAAAGGTATTTTTATTAATTAAAATTCTTTTTTGAAAGATACGTTTGTATAGGAAAATGTGATAACATTGAAATAAAGTTAACATTTCAGCACTCTCTTTTTGTTTGGAAAGTTGTTCGTATAAACGAGAACAAAGTTGAAAGCTGCGCACGGTTCGCGGTGAGTTGGGAATCGATTGGCGTCGTTCGAAACCCCAAACGACCCGAAAAGAACGCCCCGAAAAAGAAATAAATCCACCACGAAGTCGCGAATATTTACGAGAGAACGTCGTCGTCTTTATCGCGCGCTTACATTCGCCAACTTCTTTTCGAATTCAACCACGTGCCGAAGTTCTTCGCCAGCGGTGGTTTTATTCGCTCCCAGGAGAACTGCTATGTTCGTCATGTACTTGTGATAAGCTAGCATATCACCTTCGCTGCTCGCTTTTAAGTAATAATCTCTACTTGGTAAGGCTAATTGAGTTTGATCTAACTACAATAAAAAAAAATAAATATATGAACACAATTTTTTGATTAAAACAATTAGTTTTACCTGAAGGATATTAACAGAACTATTTTTATCATCGGGTCCAACCCATTGTTCTACTAAAACCGCTTCGTTATAATCACCTCGGATTTTCCCCAAAAGAGTTTCAATTGAGAATTTTGGTGGTTCCCAATTCTGATGGGTCACTGGCCAACCACCCAAAGAATTTAACACTTCTCTTAATGGTAAATCGCCAATTTTTCTAATCTGGACTAAGTAAATTTACATTTTTTATTTTAAACTTTATTTTTGTACTCACAAAGTTTCAAAAATAAATATAATTACAATAAAACCTCGATATAACCGACTAATTCAGGATATACAGTGTGTTAATTAATTATCGTACCCGACGTCATCATTACAAGTATGCAACCAAATACACAAAACGCGTATTTCAATACCTATACTGTGATATTAGTTGCATACTTGCAATGATGTTGCAACTGTATGTTTGATTGAAGAAAAACTAGATCTAGAACTAAAAACATTCGCATTTATATATTTTTCTGCATTTCAGGCTTATTTTTAGTAAGGGAATTCATAATTTTGTACTTCCCCAAACTTTTATGCTTTATATAAAGCGATCCCCAGGTTTTGTTCAGTCAGTTATTCTCAAATCTTTCTCCTCGTCGTCTCATTATTACATTACATATTTCTTACTAAATGACAACAGCTTGCAAATTTAGCCAAAATTTGTTATGATGACATTTATGATGCTGAGTTGCCTCGTGAATATAATGACGATATGAACGATGGAGCAAGTGAACATAGTGATCACGAAACCTCTTCAGAGTTTGAAGTTGAATCAGATGAAGAAAGTCAAACTCAAGTTGATGACAGTGAAACTACTCAACAATACTATTATGGTCGCAATCGTTACAAGTGGTCTAAAAAGGTCCAGTAGCACGTGCTTCGATAACAACACCCTTTGATGCTTCTGATTACCCAAGATATTCTGAATGAAATTTTAGTACATACAAATGCAAAAATCACGGATATAATTGAACTGACTCACTTTCTGGAACTTTTGATTTTGGCTGATGTGTTAAAATGAAATCATAATACAAGATACAAGAATGAGATCATTCCTTAATTCAATGAGATTTTGTATTTAGGAGCTATCGCCTCGCCCGTAAGCGACCTCGGCTATATTAGGTAAATCGTTCCCTTGATGTCTTAGGGTGTGTTTAGGGTGTGAAATTGTTGTCATAGCTTTATATGCAGGAGTTTATATTGGAACGAGAGCGGCGATAAACGATAAGAGCAGGAATGAGAGCACCGATAAGTGCTGCGCAAAATGAATTGAAAATGATTTATCAGAACAAATCTGTTGTGTTGATTTACTTAAATACTTAAGATAAAAATATTTACTTAAATATTTGACTATATTTGAATAAGAAATCGTTTTTCTTCACTTTGCTGAGGTCGCTTGCGGGCGAGGCGCTAGATTTGAGTCGTAAAATTAGTTGAGTTAAGGTTCGTATTCATAATGCGTCAATCCTAGCGCCTCGCCCGCAAGCGACCTCGGCGATATTAGATGAAATCGTTCACTTGATGTCTTCGAAAGTGAACTAAGTACACAATACATGTATGAGAAATCGTTTATCTTCACTTCGCCGAGCTCGCTTGCCGGCGAGGCGCTAGGTCTGAGACTTTATAAACACAAACCTTAATTCAATGAGATTTCGCATTTAGGAGCTATGATACCAATTCCATTGCCTCGCCCGCAAGCGACCTTGGCGGTATTAGATAATATCGTTCTCTTAATGTCTTGGAAAGTAAACTAAGTTATAAGTATACTTATATGAGAAATCGTTTATCTTCACTTCGCCGAGGTCGCTTGCGGGCGAGGCGCTAGATTTGAGTCATAAAATTAGTTGAGTTGAGGTTCGTATTCATAATGTGTCAATGCTAGCGCCTCGCCCGCAAGTGACCTCGGCGGTATTAGATGAAATCGTTCACTTGATCTTGGAAAGTAAACTAACAAGGGAAGTGTCACAACTGTGTCTCACCGATTTCGATGCAATTTGGTACAGTCATAGAATGGGCCAAAATAAGGTTCGCACATTTTTTTATACGTGCGGTAAAAGCCCCTGGGGCGAGTTATAGGGGTTGAAAGTTTGGAGAAAAAGTACGTTTTCACTTATATTTTGAAAACGAAAAGTGCTATCAAAATTTGGTAAATTGTAACTGATATTCATTTTAAAAGAGCTTTCTTTTGATGTGTCACACATATAGCAGAGGGTTAAAAAGGGCGAACTACCCCTATTTTTTTGGAATTATTTAAAAACCACCCTATCGATTTTGGCGGCATTAAGTATACTTCCAGCACGTTCAAAAATATTAGTTAAGGGTTTTTTCCCATTCGCTCTAGATCATCCCCAGCGAAGTTACGGGGGTTAACATGTAACCACTTTTCGTAAGAATGATGTGATAAAATTGTCAGGTATTTTGAAAATACTTTAACAAAACCGTAAATTAGTCGCACAATAAAATGTTTAATGTAAAATAAGGCATAATACACCATTTAGGGGTGGTTGGGGTTAACCACCCCCTTAAAAATTAATTCTATCCCGGGCATTACTTGTTGATTACGGCGAAATTTGGTACTGTGTTTGTTTTATATAGTTTATTAGTTTATTTTTATTCTACATAATGTTGCCAAAAATACACCTACCAAAAAAATTTTGGCACAATATTTGTTTTTTTAGTGCCGCTTGCTAAAGGTCATTTCTCAAAATAGTTTTTTCTAGTATAAAAGAACGTGTGCCCAG